TATTTTGCAGCCCCAGAGTCAAATTATTAAAATGCCGTGATAATGTTTTGGTAGAGTAAAAAAAAATAGCTTGAAAATGTATGTATTTCTAACAACTGTTTCAGACAATCGTAGCACTATATCAACCTATCACCCCCGCAAAGCATAATACCGCCGTCCTTTCCCGATCGACGGTTAGCACTTATTTTGATAATACGAGGTACACCCGGTAATGGTTATCTGAAATCTAATGTTAAATCAACAGCATCGGGCAAGGTATATCTGAAGTATGGTTCACGGCTAGTTCGCAACGGTAAACAAATGTTGATAGTGTACTGCATATCTTACATAAACGGTGTATATAGATCTCGGTCATACGACTCCTCGTACATTGACCCCATTTATGAGTAATGTGTTTACAGTGGCAACTGTACGTGAATACTGTTCTGACTTGCCAGCTTAATTCGCACAGATTTTACAAACCAATTCCCGGAATGTGGTGTCCGTCGAAGGCAGCCCCCCATGGTCGTACGTTTAAACACCACTGCACGACTAATGCGGCTACTTGGTCACTGTCACTGAAAGTGTGTCAACGACGCGCTGACGTGTGATTGGTTATCAAGGCGGCTGACGTAGAAGTGAAAAACATCATTATACTACGTAATAAGCATGTGAGCACCGTCACATACGCTAGTATCATCCGGTTGTCTCCAGTTCTCAAATAATCACAGTGAAAGCCATTTAGCAATCATGGCTGTTCGTAACTGCACCGAATTTCTGGCGCGCCGAGTATTGAAGTACAACAGTGTAAGAAATACAATTTATGCGATCCCTACGAGGGCCAGGTGAGTTATAACTTATTACTTTCACACGCTATGACACCTAGTTGCGTTACGTAACACGTGCGTTGCGTTACTCGGACATCACATTCTGTAAAATGAGTTTTCACTGGGCTTATATTTCGCTGATTTACCATTTCAGGAATATTCAGTGGGTTTTAAATTCACTGTTTTATCATTTTGCTGACTTGCAAATTGATATTCATCATGTACCTCAATTTGAGATTATTATTAAAATGGGAAGTATATCTGTACTTTCCAAGAACATCAACACCGTTAATAGGTTTTATGTTACGACATCAGTGTAAGAGAAGACTTGTTTCGTTGTATCCTTATTCTAAGAATTATACAGTAACGCGTGAAATAACGCTTCTCGTTTATATAACCACCAAACGCTGCTTCGCGCGTGACTGTGTAGAATCATTATTAAAAAATGTGTTTACGTGAAAGCAATTGGGTTTTCAGGTCACAGACATCAAGGTCAGTGACCTTTCAGGCGGAGTGTTTTCTGTTGTTTGCTAATGATAACTAGTATTTTGTCAGTAGTCTGCAGGCGTTTTTGTTTTCTTTAATTCACGGAGACGCCTGTCAGTGTACTGGTGTGTTTTATCTGAGTCGGTATTCGTGAAATACTAGGAGTCTATTATTTTCACAAAATAAGGTTGACAATTTGGGCAGGAACCACGATGACGTTCTCCCAAAGCAGGAAGTGATGTCGGTGTAACGTCATGAGGTCAATGATCGCTCATCATCATCAGATCAGTATATTGAAATATGTAAAATTCGATAAGTCACCAATTTTTGTTTTCACTAGATCTGAAATAAAATCCTTGTTATAAACGGAGAGTAGAGTTTCCCAGAGGGTCTATACGTTTAAATAAATGGGGTAGAAGAGGCTGTTATTCAATATTTATACCACAGTCTCTCTACATATCTATAGTTGTAAAAAAACATTGCACTGACGATGTAAAAAATATTGACCTCCTGGTACTGATCACGTGACAATGCTTCGCGCATACCCGCAACACGCCTTTGCCGGGGAAGGAGGCCAATTCACACCTAATACAATAGCCGTTTCCAAACAGAGGGATAGAGGGGATGTGTTTATACGTATGGAAAGACATGTACCGCTATATTGAAAAACAAATATGCAAACAAAAATGCATGAAAAAATCCCTCATCGATTTCAAATTTCAAGACAAAAATGTGCTTATCGTTTACAACAGGAATTCATTGTTTGATTTGGTGACTGGCAACATTTTGCTCACCAAAATTAGGGGTCAACCATTTTAAATCATGAGGGTGACTGGACAATTCTTTGAAAATAATGCAAGCTAGACACTGGGAAAAAGAAAAAATAATGCATACAAAGTGTTGCAGAAACAATTGCACCCTTATCCCCCCCACCCCACGTGATTCAACTGTTTGGCCCTTTATACTATATATGTTCTTATTTCAGCTCATGGTGGAGCTATGTTCTCGAGGGAGAACCCGATCCCATCCTGGGAATCAAAGACCAGTTTAATTTAGACACAAATCCAAACAAGATGAACTTAGGCGTTGGATGCTATCGTGATGATAACGGTAAACCATACGTATTACCATGTGTTCGCAAGGTAATAAAAACATATTACTGACCAATGAAAACCATTTTAATGAGCAGTACATCGTTATCATGTATAATGAATTATTATCCTAAATAGAATGGAATCATTATATTCCACGTCGCATTCGTGCGTCTTATTGAGCACTAGGTGTAAATACTTTACAATACATTCATAAAATAATGATAATGGCGCCCTCTAGCAACGAAACGCTTCTGTCACGTAAATGAGTGTTAGACGGTGTTCACACCTGCCGTAATGTTTAGTGAAGTCATCCATCAACAGACAAAGAATTTTTGTTTTGTTTTTAAACGTGTTGTTTTCTAAACAACGGACTGCGCAAGTTTGAGCGTAATTTATTACACTTATACATGTATTTTTGACGTCACAAATCTACTTCGACTTCAGAGGGCGTGTCTAAAATAGGAAATGTGTATAAAGTCCGATGTCTTATTTTATTGACAGGCAGAGGAGATAATCCGATCAAAGAAGCTAGACAAAGAGTATCTGGATATTTCCGGTTTGACCGAATTTACAAAAGCCTCAGCTATCCTGGCATTTGGTGAAGACAGTGAAATTCTCAAACGCAAAAGGGTAAGCGGAAGACGTCACCACCCACTAGACTAGGTTTCGATTCGTGTATTCTGTTTGTATTTTTCGGATTGCTTGGTCTATTTTTATTGTTTTCTTGTAAATTTAGCACGACAAGTAATCAGGTGACTTGATAAAGCCTGGTTCACAACGCGTTGTAAACATGTTTACAAATTAAGTCTCAAAGGTATTGCCGCATAACGGCAAACTGAACTTTTGCCGATGAATTGCGGTTTGTTGAATTTTTACTGGGAAGATAATTTGATGATTACAAAACGCTTTGCAGCGAACGAGGATGAACTTTTATGGCGGACTTGATGACGTATCATACAAAATCCATGCGCGACACTGAACTCCGGAAATCGTCTCGTCGGCATGCTTGAAAGGGTTGCCATAGTTCACACATTAAGAGGGACCACTACCTCACGGCGCACACGAATTCTATACACAGTGCGGTTGTTGTAGTTCCAACTTCAACTTTATTTTGTTTGAAATGAGATAAATTAATCATATTCTATCTGTTTTTTACACAAGAATGTTACAGTACAAGGCATTTCGGGCACTGGGTCACTTTGCCTTGGAGCCCATCTTTGTGGCAAGCTATTTCCTGGAATTAAGGAGATATGGCTGCCGAATCCTACATGGGGAAACCACAGACTCATTTTTAAGTAAGTGTCTTTATTGAAGAAAAAAAGCATGATAATAAATAAATTTCAATTAATTATATTTTTTCAAATGTCATAATTACATGTATGTTATGCGTTTCATTATAGATATGCCAACTTACAACTCAATCATTACCGCTACTATGATCCCGAGACATGTGGGTTTGACGCTGGAGCAGCTTTTGAAGACTTATCTGTAAGAATTATTCCATTTATGTTTACTGACTACATAATTTAACTGAACTTTGTTCCTCGTGAAATCGTATTTTATTTTTTCAGTATGGGAATAGCGAATTTGATGATGGCGCGCATCGAGTAGAATGCCACTCAGTAACAACACGGACACTATAATTCTGACTCGCCTCGCTTCACTCTAAATACGCCTTGATAAAAGCTAAAAGCCGGATTTCATGGAGAGCGCGCCATGCATCCCCGCACGTTAGTTTTCGTGTCCATTAATCCCTCTCTCCGCGAGAGAGGAGCCAGTACCTTGGAAATTGGCCGGTGGTTATGTTTGTTATGTGCACTGTGTCACGTGTCCTACCCGTGAGTGATTACCCGCTGGCTACGCACTGACAATATAAATAATATAGTCCGTAGTATTATTATAGTTTACTGTAAAATTATTAATTTTCGCTTGTAATTTATTCAGTGATGGTTCAGTGAAAATAAAATTCAACGAATATACCTTTTTTTCCTACGTTTTGCATTCAACTCATCGACAATCAGTGAAATTAAACTCCATATAAATCACCCAAAAAGTCTTTTCAGCGAAAAGTATTTCACAGTACTATATTTTTCTAATACTTGCAGTCCATTCCAGAGAATTCAATTGTTCTGTTCCATGCCTGTGCACACAACCCAACTGGTGTTGACCCAACGGTATGTAAAAATAATTTATCACAACGACTCTGTGTAAACTGATATACAAACATTTTTAAAGCGCCACAGTCGTCGCGTTGTGTCGTAGTCGACTTGGGACCCACAGCGACGTACGCAACGCGTGTAAAATACATTCATTCGAACACGCGCTGCGCGATAACTGCAGTGCTTTAAATGCACAATACGTAATGTATAACCACAAGTAGTTTGAATAACTACAGCTTCATGACGGGAAAGAATATTACATTTAGGGATAATTGCACATTCTATTTTTGCCTGAATAGATAGTTGCCTTGAACATGACGTTTATACGCGCTGGTTGCAATGTCTTGCTACAATGTTATAGATCATTTAAAATGTTATTATTTATCTTTCAGCCCCACCAATGGAAAGTGATGTCAGAGATAGTTAAGGTAATAAAAAGTCCATTTCCCGTTCACTGTAAGATCCCGCGTTATGCGTGAAATCGAACGTAAAAACAATACAAAGGTCATAGCGTCACAGTAACGTCTGAACATCGTGGGGGATTCGACCAACGCGAAACATTTTTTCTCATTTCCACGCTCAATAATGTTCAATTTTGATAAACTAAGTTCATCTCGTCGCAATATTCATTTCTGAAAACATACGACCGACCTGCGTCTTTCACGCAATATGCGAGATCTCGGCAGTGAGCGGTAAATCACCTATTGAAATAAGCATTGATTTTTAACTCTGAAGAAATCGCAAAATCACGGACTACAACGAACTCTGAGGAAGGCTTCTCACGATGTATACTATTTAGTTAAAAGTGTTGCTGTTCATCTTTTTATTCACAGATGCGTAACTTGTTGCCTTTCTTTGACATGGCATATCAAGGCTTTGCGAGTGGTGACGTCGACAAGGATGCGGCAGCTGTAAGAATATTTGCCGAAGATGGACACCTTCTTGCGTTAGCACAGTCATTCTCCAAGAATATGGGATTATATGGTAAGTTGCAATTTCATTTTTTCACCATCTATACATTTTTACGATGAGATACATAGTAACGATACGGAATCCCTGCTACCTGAACATATGTTTAATTAATTTGAACATTTTGTACCAGACAGTAGTGATGGTATGGTATTTATAGGTCGTCATATATTTTCATTTTTGCCAACCAACATGTTTAATAAATTTAGCCAAAAGACATTACGGGGACTATGTATTGACATTGATTTTCTCTGTTTTCTGGCACCAGGTGAGCGTGTTGGTGCATTTACATTGGTATGCGAGTCCGAGGAAGAAGCGAAACGCGTGGAATCGCAACTTAAAGTCATCGTACGGGCAATGTATACCACCCCACCCCTCAGTGGTCCAAGAATCGTGGAAACCATTTTAAACACACCTGAACTGAAAACCCAGTGGTAAGATTATTATTATTATTATTATTATTATTATTATTATTATTATTATTATTATTATTATTATTATTA